CGCTCCGGCTCGGGTGAAGAAGCAGCGGGTGGCGGGGAGATCTCCAAAAGGCCTGGATAAGGAGCCAGCACCCACATCTCCGAGGAGTCCCAGCCCCTCGGGGGGTCTCCCCATGCCGATAATCTGAGCATGGCCTAGTGCTGGAGAACGTCCTGGTGTGGGACGGCAGCTCGAGAGAGCCCCTTCCCCTCCAGCAGGATACGGCCACTGGTGCTGCTGGCCTTCGGTAGGGGAGCGTAGACAGGGTTTCCAGCTCTGCAGCTGGAGGTACCCTGAGGTGATCTGGCACCCAGACACGCTCCACGTGCCCCTCGTGCTTCCTCATCCAGGCTCACCGGGCCCAGCCCACCTGCTTGTCTCATCCCAACCGGCTGCAGAGCAGAGCCGGGGGCTCTGGGCCGTGGGGCAGAGCTCTGCTGGCTCCGCTCTGATACTGGGGAGTGAAAGGCGCATCCCAGCCCTGAACTGGGGCAGTAAAACAGCTGGGGCTTTGGGGGCGTTGCAGCACCAGCCACCAAATCCCTCATGCGGGTGAATTCCGTGCCTTCCCTTGCCAGCCGGTGAGTGCCCTCGGCTTGTCAGGGCTCTCTCTGTCCCTTCGCAGCGCTGGGCCAGGGAGGGTGGGACAGGATCTGGGTCGCTGTCCCCTCTCCCAGGGCAGCTCTGCTGCCTGTCCCTGCCTGGCAGGCGTAACCGTGGACCCCGCGTGTGTTTTCTAGAGGGAAGTTAAGGGACACCATTCTGGACTGGGAAGATTCCCTGCCCGACCGCGACCTCACGCTGGCGGACGAAGCCTGCAGGTACTGGGCTGGGGCTCCTCACACCGTGGCGGCTCTTCACACCCGGGAGGCTGCCCGGGTTCCCCGTCCTCTGCCCACACCACAGCGGCCCTCGGGGCTGACCCTGCCCAGCTTTGTTCGTCGTATTTTGTGCCACGCAGCCCTGAGGCTGTACCCACAGCACAGCAACGCCCAGCCCTCTCCCCAAAAAGTGGCCGAGAGAAACCACTGCAAATTCTGCCCACGGCTTTGCTTCCCAGCCGGGCAGCTTGTGGAGTCCGCAGTGGCGCGGGGTAGGAGAAGCAGCCTGCAAAGAGCCACGGCTTTTTCTCTGCCCTGAGTGTTCTGTCTCTGCCCTGTAGGAAAGCTGATCTCTCCGTCACGCTGGGGACCTCTCTGCAGATCAAACCCAGTGGCAACCTCCCGCTGATCACGAAGAAGAGAGGAGGGAAGCTGGTCATAGTCAACCTACAAGCAACCAAACACGTGAGTGCGAGCGTCCTCGCTGCCCTGTGCTCAGAGCAGTTTGCTCTGCGTGGCTCCTTGCCCCTCACGGGGCTTCTTTCAGCCCCATCGCAGGTTATTCCCCGCACATTGTCCCCTCCTGGGTGGCCAGATAGGAGAGTGGCCTCGCTTATCAAGCGGACAGGCTGGGCTTCCCTTCTTGGAGGGTTTAAACTCGCAATAAACACCTACAAGTGGAAGGTGACTCTTAAGAGCAAACCAAAAACTCAGCCCAAAGCCTGGTGTATCCTCTGGTGAATTACAGTCCCCTGAAATAACTGCACGGACGTCACCCATCCACGGCGCAGAGTTCGGTTCGTGTTCAGCCTTGGGTTTGGTGCCCTAATTGTCCGAAGTCTGAGTAACCAGAGCCGGGGGGTTTCTGGGATGTCGTTAGAGCTCCCCTGTCCCTGTCCCACGCTGTCCTGGGCTCACTCATCCACGTCGCCGTCTCGGGGCTGGGTTTCGAGGTGTGACTGCCTGCCTGCACCCCACAGAGCCCTGTCAGCCCGCCGTGTAGCGGTGCCAGACGGGTCAGTTCGGTTCCCCCAGGGGTGATGGCTCAGGGACAGGAACCCTGGAGCCCACGTGCAGCTGAGCCGTCACCCAGGCCCTGTCCCCACGCCCTCCCTGGGAGGAGATGTTTGTCCCCCAGCGCTGTGTTTGTCCCCTAACGCTGAGCTTGCCCTCGCTTGCCCCAGGACAGACAGGCCGACCTGCGCATCCACGCCTACGTTGACGATGTCATGACGAAGCTGATGAAGCACCTCGGGCTGGAAGTCCCGGAGTGGACGGGGCCGGTGGTGGTGGAAAGCGCCGAGCTCGCCGAGCCCGAACGGCTCTTCAAATTCGACCCCGGGGCTCGCGGGGTGCTGAAGGAGGAGCCCCTCGCCTCACACAACGGCACGGGTGGGCTGTGCCCTGACCTTGGGACCACGCTGGTGGAGCACCGTGACAGTCTGAAGCAGGAGTGTCCCAGCCCAGACACGGGGCCAACGACGGTGAAGAAGATGAAGGTGGAGCCTCTCCTCACCTGACCCGGACTGTTCCCTGTCTGTCTAGACACTTGTCTGTGCCGCTTTTCCTACCGACTTTTTTTTATACCCTTAAACATTGTCCCTTTTTTTATGTAAGTATTAAACACACTTGAATCGCGTGTGTCAGGGCAGCTGCGAGGGGGGGTTCCCTGCTTGAAACGGACCGAGCACCCAATTCCTTCTCCGCGAGGAGATGGTTGTGGGGCCCAGCAGACCTCGGAGGGGCAGAGGGTGCTCAGCGCCGGGGCGGTGACACAAGGGGATCACCGGGGCAGCTGACGCCACCTGGGATGGAGCTGGGGCTGGGCAGTGGTCGGGATGAGCCGCTGCTATCCCGCGTGCTGGTGGAGGTTGCGGGGGGGGGGAAGGGGGGGGGGGACTGGTGCTGGCCAAATCCTGGCCTGGCGCAGGGCTTGGGAGCTGTGGGATGGGGCCGCGGTGCGGCCGCCCTCCCCTCTGCCTCCTGCTGTGCCCGTTGCTGCTCCCGGGCAGCCCTAGGCTGGGTCTGGCCACGTGTCCCAGCTCGGTTGGACCCTGTTGTCTCCTGGCAGCTGGGCCCAAGGTGTCCCTGGCCCAAGGCTCCTTGAAACCTTGTGGATCACCCCTTATTGAACTACAGCAGATGGATTTTTTCCAAAATACCTTGTATTTAGAGATGAAAATAAAGCTTAAAAAAAAAACAACAACAACAACAACAAAAAAAGAATAAACCAAACCAGTTGCACCATCAATAGCCAACCAGCCCAGGGCCCTTCCAGTTCCCTCGTCCCCATCCTGAGCGACTCCGTGTTCCTTCCACAACTCCTGCTGCACCCGGGGTGGGCAGGAGCAGCCCCTTCCCTCCCAGTAAGGCTAATGGGAACCGGTCTCATCTTCCCAGTTCACAGATACAAGCAAAGCCAAGCAGGTCCAGCATCTGCCCGTGCCTGGAGGCAGATCCTAGAGGGGTCACCCCGAGGGTTTGTCCCATAGGGGATGAGGTGCTGAGCCACCCCATCGTGTCCCCCGTGGTCCCTGGGTGCTGCTTAAAGCTCCTCAGCCGGCTCCAGCACCGTGGGCCTGCCGTGGCCAGCCTCGGTCCAAGCCAGCGACGCCAGGCCATGGTGGGGTGCGGTGCCGTCCCCCAACAGGGCGTCAGCTCGATCCCCATCCCCACGGCTCAGCCCCTCCGAGGCCAGCAGCTGCGTGCCGTTACGGGGGGAGATTTTATGCGGGCGTGGGATGAACGAGCGGCCACCAAAGGCTTCGTGCAGGGTCTCGGGGACTTCGCCCGGGCTCTCTGGCCACAGCGGCTCTGGGGGCTTCTCATCCCTGGCTGGGGGCTGTGTGTAAGCCACGCGGGAGGCGGCTGCGTTGTGCAGAGACCTGGAGAAAACTGAGCGCGAAGGGGAGTCAGGGCCCGCCCCAGCGCCCCGAGCTCCCGCCCGGCCCCGGCGCGGCCCTCACCTCGCACGGGTCTGAAGTCGCCGTCTGCCTCGGCCTTGCTGGAGGCAAAGGGGCTGATGGAGGGGAAGACGATGAGGGCGAAAGAGAGCAGCAGGACCTGGGGGCAGAGCGGGGACGTCACCGTGCACCCGTGGTGGAGGGGGACCAGGTTCTGGGACATGGCTCCCAGAGAGGGGGCTGGTGGTAGAATCAGGACTGCGTCCCTCCGTCCCTCCCAGTGCATGTGCCAGCACAACTCCATCTATCCCTTCCTCCATCCATCCATCCATCCCTTCCTCCATCCATCCCTTCCTTCCTTCCTCCATCCATCCATCCATCCATCCATCCATCCATCCATCCATCCATCCATCTCTTCCTCCATCCCTTCCTCCATCCATCCATCCATCCCTTCCTCCATCCTTTCATCCATCCATCCAACCATGGAACATCTATCCTTCTGCCTTAGCACACATCCATCCCTCTGTCCATCCTTCCCTGCCAGCACATCCCTGTGTGTCTGAGCATCCCTCTCTCCCTCCCTCCCTCCCTCCCTCGAAGCAAGGAGGCCAGGAGGGAGAGTTTGGGGGCTCCACGCACCGCAATGCAGGTTCCCGTCTGCGCTGCCTTGTTACTTGACTGTACCACGAGAGCCTGGAGCTTCTTCAGCTGCTCCAGGAGGGACCTGGGGATTGGGAGAGCCCATGAGCACCTCCAAGCCCCTCCAGTCCCCCAACAGGTCTGGCTGGGGTGGTGGGGGAGTCTCAGCCCCATCCTACCCTCCCCCCCCTTGTCCCCATCCTGCCCCAGGAACACCTACGAGTTCTGCTTCTCCAGGTGCAGGACTTTCCTCTGCAGCTCCTGGTTCTGGGCCGTGCACGCCGACATCCTGGGGGACAGGGAGAGGGGGATGAGGTCTGGGAGGGCTGGGAAGGAGCAGCGTGCCCATCACCAGCCAGCCGGGTGCCCCTAGGGTGCCTGGGGCAGGGGGTGGTGGTGCCAGCCCCGGGGGTTGGTGTCCAGCCCAGAGCAGGGGTTTGGGGTCCGTACCGGCTCTCCAGCCCATCGATATACTCCTTCTTCTTCTTGCGGCTCTCCTGAGCCGACTGCTTGTTCCTGATCTTCCGCCGGATCTTCTTCAGCACCCGCTCCTCGTACTAGGGGAGACGGGGCAGTGCCTGGGGCAGGGGGTGGTGGTGCCAGCCCCGGGGGTTGGTGTCCAGCCCAGAGCAGGGGTTTGGGGTCCGTACCGGCTCTCCAGCCCATCGATATACTCCTTCTTCTTCTTGCGGCTCTCCTGAGCCGACTGCTTGTTCCTGATCTTCCGCCGGATCTTCTTCAGCCCCCGCTCCTCGTACTAGGGGAGACGGGGCAGGGGGTCAGGGCCGCTGCGGCTGGGACCACCCCACTCCACACCCTTCCCAGGCACGGTGGGACCCACCTTGGTGAGGGGCAGCTGCGTGGGCAGGGTCACCCCCTCCTTCGCCAGCAGCTTCTTCTCGTCCTCCGTCAGCACCAGCTCCTGGAACTGCCCCTGGCTCTGCCTCAGCAGGGAGCTGGGCGCCTGTGGCTGCTGCGGGGACACGGAGGGGTGACAGCTCTGGGCGGTGGGGTCACCCCACGCCTGAGCCCAGGGACCACGGTGGGGACAAGGATGGGATCGTGGTGCAGGAAGGGACAGGGCTGGGGCTGTGGTGTGGGGAAGGGGACAAGTGTGGGGATGGGGAGAGGAATGGGGAGGGGATCATGGTCCAGGAAGGGACAGAGCTGGGGACAAGGAGGGTTGGGGACACAGAGGCAGACACTCACGGCATCAGAGCTGCCCGAGAGCAGCAGGTCCTTGACGGTGAGGGTGCAGGATGCAGGCGGGGAGACCACAGGCAGGTCCTGGCTCTCCTCCAGGAAGAAGCCGGGGTGCCACACATCTGGGTGAGGGGAGAGCGGAGGCTGTCAGCAGTCCTGTGTCCCCCTCTGTCCCCAGTGTCCCCAGTGCAGGACCC